TTCATAATTTTTCATAAATCAGTGCTGGCCACCATAATAACAATTAATATATGATTGTGTGATCCGCTCTTCAGTTTTCTGAGAAAGAGCCTGTAAAATAAATTTTTAGCTTTAATTCTCTTCGCTAGTAATTTCACATTTGTATGTGATCAGTACCTGTTGTTGTTCTTCAAAATAAGGCATGCAATTTTAGTTTTGTTTATTTTTATAAGCACAAAGGAGACCATGGTGTTTGCTGGGTAGTAAGCTGGTAGTCTGGTAGTCTGCTCGTTTTTGTCCAGAGGCCTGTGTTTTGTCAAGCTGCATAAGTTTAAAATTCCAAGATGCAGAATTTGTGATCAAAGCTAATAAGCCAGAATTTCATTCTGTCTTTTGATTCTGTGTATTAACATCTCTTTCTGGATCAGGTTAATCTCCCTTTTCAAACTGTGTGTTCCAGGTATTTTTGTGTACATAGCCACTGGGCTTTGGCTGTACGTTGGCATAGTGCAGAGTCTGTTTATAGTCGCAAATACCTGCTAGAATTTCTAGAGGTGTCTGCAGTTAGGCTGTCTAAATTCACTGTACAGCAGATGGCACTGGAAGAGCACATCAGTGAGAGACTTCAGTCACGCCATAATTCATACAAAATACTAGCAAAGCTGTTTCAGTGCTGAGGATTGTGAAGAAGTTGTGTAGCTCATTTTAATGTGTTCCAGGAAAGGGGTGCATGCTGGATTCTTCTGCTTCAGCTCTTCTAGATGTAGACAGTGGAAAATTTTACACTTGCAAGTGTATGAGTGTGTCGTACATTGCGGGCTGTTTATACAGTGCTTTTAAACACATTGTGCAATGCAGAATTACTCATACTCTTTAAGCACGTGCAAAGAAGAATATCTGGATCAGTTGGGGTGTTTGTCTTCAGGGTATATTTGCTTTCTCCTGTCTTGTATAAAATATGTGTAAGAGACATCATAAAGTACAGTGGTTCTCATACGAAGGACTTGTTCAGGAACTTGTGCTCATCTGTAGGTGTGTTTGGTTTACTCTGTAGAGCTTTTACCCAGACTGTAATTCACTAGATTTTTACCATCTTTTCCTGGATGAGTTTGCTGGACTTCTGGATATATGCATATTTCTGTATTTGGTTTATATATGAACTTTCTTTATTTGAGAAGTTACAATGAAGCAAGTAATGAGTTGTTCATTTGGACAATCATGCATTTTGTTTGATAAAGATATTGGCTACTAAGATAGGCTGACAGATGTAAAACACTTTTCTTTTCCTCAAACAGCCTCAGTAGTGACTGACAAAGTGAAAAATTTTGACTTCTCTGTATGCTGCCATGGAGAATTATCTGTTGAGATTATTTTTAGTTACTGGATTTTCATTTGTACAAAAAAGCACATTTTCACACAGGAAGACTACTATGTGATAAAAACTTGTTCTTCAATGTGACTTGTTTAGTCTTTTAGTTATGGAGAATCTGAAGAAATGTTCCTTCAGCCATATTTTAGGTAACCAATTCCCTTGAAACACACCAATAAAAAAATGGTGTCTCAAGACAGTTTGGGTCTATATACGTCTCTCTCCAATCAGCAGAGTATTAATGTTCTTTTATTTTCTTCCTAGCTTAGAAGGCAGATTTTACTTGGCTTGCTTTTTTTAGGGGTAGGAATTGCAAACTTGATGATGTGGTTCTCAGAAGGATGAGGGAATGTACCTGGTGAAGTGGAAGTAGTATCAGCTTGTGGATGTCAGTCAGAAGCACTTGGAGAACGCTGTGGGTTTCACAAGTGGGGTTACTGTGAGGGTTTTGAAGCTTCTGGTACTACACACACAAAGACACAGTTAAATTTATCAAATGAACAAACACTCTGACTTTGACAGTTTAGGAGCAGCAACTTTAGAATCTAGTTCTTTAGAACTTTAGAATTTAGTTCTATTTTTCACCCATTTTGTAGGTTCAGTTAGTTACAGTGGAAAGAGTACTGTAAATTGGTAAGATGGAAAAATCCGAAAGGTTTGGGAATAGAAGGTCAACAAGGCATTTTGAATGTACTTTTAATTGGCATGTAGCTTGTCCTTTATCTGATTCTGTAGCTTTTTCTTAATTACTGTACTTTGTCAGTTATTCTTACACAGCAAATTTCAGGCATTCAGAAACCACTAAGTGTTTTCTACTCATTTTTTTTTCAACACTTCCATATTTCCCAATCTTTCCAAACATATGGAGCTCATGTTAAACATCAGTATTTAAAAACATGAAATTTTACAGTTCTGCATGTATGTGTCATAAGAAAAAGAAAATAAAAGTAATGTCTTAACCTTTGAATATACTACGTGTATCTTGGTATCATCTTCAAATTGTGCAAGTGGAATATATTTAAGGTGTCAGGACTCCTGGTACCGCAGGAGTCATGTTAAAAGGGGAAAATTAGCAGTGACCTTCTAATAAAATACTGGCCCTACTTTTTAAGATTTTAGTATTAGTTTATAGCAGGAGTTGGTTCTTAGGGTTTTGTTTGTTTAGGAAACAAGTTTTTTGGGCATGTTTGTTCTTTGCTGATAACAAGTAAATCAGTTTACAGGCAGAAGAGAAACCTTTTCGTTTCTCTGCATTGAGAAAAAGGAAAGTGCTGTTCAGTTTGGTAATTAAGAAAAAGAAATGGGAAGAGCTGAAGATACTCTAAAGATGGACTTGGGAAATGTTGGAGTTATGACAAAGAACAGGCCTTCAGGGAAGGGTGATGCAGATAGTGTAGCACATTTGAAGATAAGGACTAGTTTTGCCATGGTTTAACCCTGCTGGCAACTAAGCACCACACATCTGGTTGCTCACTTTGTCCCCAGTGGGATAGGGGAGAGAAACAGAAGACTAAAAGTGAGAAAACTCATGGGTTGAGATAACTACATTTTATCAGGTAAAGCAAAAGCCACAAACACAAGCAAAGTAAACCAAGGAATTCTTTCACTGCTTCCCATCAGCAGGCAAGTGTTCAGCCATCTCCGTGAAAGCAGGGCTCCATCATGCATAATGATGACTTGGGAAGACAAACACCATCACTCCAAAATGCCCCACACTTCCTTCTTTCATCCGGCTTTATATGCTCAGCATGACATCATATGGTATGGGATATTCCTTTGGTCAGTTGGAGTCAGCTGTCCCAGCTGTGTCCCCTCTCAACTTCTTGTGCACCCCCAACCTGCTCACTGGTGGGGTGGTGAGAGAAGCAGAAGCAGCACTGACACTGTAAGCACTGCTTAGCAATAACGAAAACATCAGTGTATGATCAACATAGTTTTCAGCACAAATCTAAAACATAGCCCCATGCTAGCACCTATGAAGAAAATTAACTCTATCCCAGCCAAAACCAGCACAGATACAAATCCAAGTAAATCAAGCTTTAGTGCTTCTGCTGTTTATGAGAACAATGTTCAACCTGCCCCAGCGGCAGGGCTTTGCTTAAATTTTTTGAGGTATTTTGAAGTTCAGAATTCTTAGATGCCTTCCATCGTCTTTTAGTTTGCTTTGGATAAGATCCTTTAGCTTTTGTGTACTTGAGGACCACAAGAGTTGGGTTGGACAAGAGTAATTGTCAATGGACTACTGTTTGTTTATAGTAATTATCCTCCTTACATACTTTTATGTGAATTCTGAATGGTTATTTAAGAAAATCATATTCTTATGTTGATAAAACTTAGTTCAGTTCATTGTGCTGTTTTTCTCAGTTGCTTATTTTATGATACCCCAGAAGAAAAGTACATAAGGGCTGTTTTACTTTCCCCTCAGTCCCCCAAGCCTGGAAGATTTCTTGAAAGATTCATAGACTCTTCCAGCTTGCCATGCTTAGCCTGGAGCCAGGCTTGCTGCTGCAGTTTGTGCTGTTAACATCACATGTAATTTAGAGATGCATGCAATAACGGCTACTGCTAAGGGTAGTACCTACTTCTGTGGCAGCAGCAATTTCCCTCTCTTCTTTTCCCGTCTTATTCTTCCTTTCTCTGCAGTGCTGCTTGCTTTGGAAGGTCTAACATTTTAAAAAAAAAACCCTGAAAAACCAAACCAAACCAAACAACCCCCGAACTTCAAACAAACAAAAGAAAAATCAACAAACAAGCTGAAAACTCAAATTTATGGAGGGGGTGGATGTATGACTCGGTTCCAGGTGGGAACAGTTGACTGGGACTTGAGCAGATGTGTTTGTTTAGTCTTGGCAGAAGTACTGGAGGAAGAAAAGCTCAATACAAGGCAAGGAGAACCTGTGATTTGTCCTCCTCTATGCCTAAAAACGAGCTTGAAACTCAACTTTTCATTGATAGAAGTTCAGGAGGGGACTCCTATGACTTGCTCTAAACAGATGTTACTTTGCTGTTAATGTCTCTCTTCATTAGAGTAAGTTTTCCTGTAATTATGAACTATTTCAATATTGCTCAGCTTTCCTGTTTAAAGAAGGTATGACCTTGTAAGACCATGTTTTTAAGGGCTGATCATGGTCCTATAGATACTATAGAGTATCTTGTGTAGTTTTCTCTTCTATAGTTATCTTTGGGATTTTTTAGGAGCATTCTGAACGAGAGGGGTGTTTCTGGGCTGGAAAAGTTTATATACATGCATTAAGTGTATGTGCCTATGAGTGTGATGCAATGTGTGTATGTATTTAAAAATAGCATGCTGAAAGCAGAAAAAAAGTTGTGGGAATCTCCAAGGCAGATGTAGCAGATTCATTTTTTGAGCCTGATTATTTTCCAAGTCAGCTCTCTATATTTACTTTTATTTGATGCCCGTTACTTCAGTACTGCAATTTCTGTTTTGTTTGGAGAGGGGGAAACCCTTATGGATAATTTTAAAAATATTTCTTTTGTGAAATTAATTGTTTTTTATTTGTTTCCAGGAAATGGCTCTTGAAGTTAAATGAGGCTGGACAAAACACATAAATGAAGCAGAAGCTGCTCTGCATGTGTTAGGGCTATATCAACACAAGCACTGCTGATCAGCCAGACTTAGTAACTTGTCATAATGAAGAAAATTAGTCTTAAAACAATTCGAAAGTCCTTTAACTTAAATAAAAGTAAAGATGAAAGCGACTTTGTAGTGG